CACTTAGCTAATCCTGTTGTAAACACAGCTTAGACTTGCATGAATGTTATATATATATGTCACTAAAGAACAGTAAGGAGTGTGTAGCTAGCTACAAAACAGTTCTCCACAATCTTTCCCTGGCCTAGAGACAAGGCTTAATGTTTCTGTTCACAACTGCATATGCAGGGTTGGGTGCTGTGGAGACACGGTAAGAGACTCCATACGCCAAATTATCTCTAGTGGCTGGACCGGTTTCAGCCACCCAACGCTGCTGTCGTACATCATCAACTGTTTCATAGACTCCAATGTCTGGGTGACTGTCATCATCGCCAACTGTCTCATAGATTACTGCTCTAGCACTGCAAAGGAAGGAAATCACACTTCAGTAGTAAATTAGTCCACTGCTGCTGCAAAACTGTGCTATTGACTACTTCTCATCAGAAGGAATACACTGTTCTATAATTACCTTGGATCTGTATAAGAACTGTTTCCTGCAGCAAACAATAACATTAGCTTACAAAATGAGGATCACTTTGTGTGAGAGAATTTTCATGCATGATCAAAACACCCACGCAAAAGTTAACTATATACAACTCTCAAACTTCCAAGTTCTTTAAACTTACTTGTACAGATGGGATTGTTGCACTGTAAAAGAAAGACAAAAATATGGATACTCAAAACCTAATACAAGAGTGACTAGCACAAACTACCATGTATAGTAATGTACCTTGTGAATCCGAATGCATGTGGCGGCAACTAGTAGCAGCAGTCCTGGCAATAGAATACCTCCACTGATTGACACAGGAATGATCCAGGCCAGCTGACCCAGTATGTCTGAGTCCTGACAATCTGCAAAAATCAACCGATGTAAGGAAGCAAAGCCTATTAAAAACTGTTGTCAGACCTCTCTCTCCTCCAACAAAGACACTGCCCATAGTGTTGAAGGCCCCAGAGAGTACCACCTGATAGTCCACAGTACATCCCATCCCGTTCAAATGTACAAGACACTGATATCCCATCACTATCTGCAGGGAGCAAGAGAGCTAATAGTAACGCTTGTAAGGTAAGAACTCACTGAGGTAATCCAGAGGGCTGGGATGACAGTCTCCTATGGAGCAGTTCATAGGCCAGCACAGAGCACATGACACAAAGAAACTACAGAGGTGGTCCTATGTACAAATTTAGATGCACGTAGTTCATTCAATAGGTTAGTGGATCAGTGCATGTTACTTTGTAGATACAAGTCCTGTTGAATGAGACGGAGTCTGTGTCACACAGACAATCATTGCAGTCACACTTTCCATCCTTCTCTCTGTCCTGATTGTGTGCACACACTCTCTGTTTAGAGAATCAAGCAAAGTTGTGTCTCTATCTCACAGCCAATTGCACACAAACACAGATTTGCAAGTGCTCTATCAACTCACGCCAGGGTACTGCTCATTGTAGCAGTTATCAGGATCGCAGCCACAGTCATCTCCAGAGTACTGGTGACCAGAGAGAGGAGCTGTCCCACACTCACAGTCACAGTCACACTTCTCTCCATCACACACACACTCTCCCCTACCTGGGTACGTAAAGTGTATATTACTGTGAAATACTTGACCTGAGAGTGCGTACTATAGACTGACAAGTATGTGATATGATGGCATTTGAATAATCATTGATCAAAAGCTTCACACAGTACTAATCAAAAAACATTATTTTTACTTCACATTCAACACTATTAATTTTTTTCGCAATGCCAATGTTCCCACATCAACATTAGGTAATTGGCAAGGCTTCACTTGACAATATTGGTGGGAGTGGTATATATGTCTAAAGCTGCATTGCTCAAATGCTCAGAGTCTCCCATATTTCTGCCAATTTCAGTTTACTTAGTAGAACAAAGTGGACTGACTTCGATAACCAAAACACAGATGGCTGGGGCCTGCTCACCACTGCAGACTTGGTCTATATCTCTCCCAACACTCACCACTGCAGACTTGGTCTATATCTCTCCCAACACTCACCACTGCAGACTTGGTCTATATGTCTCCCGACACTCACCACTGCAGACTTGGTCTATATCTCTCCCAAACACTCACCACTGCAGACTTGGTCTATATCTCTCCCGACACTCACCACTGCAGACTTGGTCTATATCTCTCCAACACTCACCACTGCAGACTTGGTCTATATCTCTCCCAACACTCACCACTGCAGACTTGGTCTATATCTCTCCCAACACTCACCACTGCAGACTTGGTCTATACCTCTCCCAACACTCACCACTGCAGACTTGGTCTATATCTCTCCCAACAGGACAGGCTCCAGCACCAGTGGAGTTGTCACACTGACATCTCTTTCCAAAGCTGCCAACTATCTGAAAAACACCACCTATTGTGTCCTGCATGACAACACACAACACACATATATATATGCAGATATTGTGAGGTTCTCGTGGCATTACCTGGTATGTGTCACAACTTATACACTCTCTTGTACAGTTATCACAACTTCCTCTGTTGAAACAGTCATTCCTGCATATATAGGCCATGTGAATAATGTGAAGACATAATTGAAAAATTGTAGTTGGCACTTACAGACAGGGCCCCAGTTCATCATCACACTCACACTGTTCTCCATAAAAGCCCCTGGAAATCATAGAGATGGTCATACATTTTATTTACCTTGTAATTCAGTGTTCAGCAAGGCTATCCTTGCCATGAAAGCTTTGCTTACTCAGAACAGTCGCAAGCTCCACACACAAGAGAGCCTGTGCCATTGCAAGACGTGTGGTTTGAAATCTGTAAATAATAGATAGTCCATACAGCACACTACTATGTATATAACATTACCATTTGTGATGAGCAGTTGCATTCACAGATAGGTACCAGGGTCAGCTCCACATTACCAAATCCAGGCAGAGGTAGAAGTCGACTGGAGAGAAAGCAATTCTATAAAACATGTTAATCTGTTACTGTTGGTTAGCCTAAAGCTGTGTTTACATACATGGTGAAGGGGGAGGACCAGATTCAATGATAGGCTGTGCCGAGTTGTGTACGTAAATGCTAGACTTGCGACTGACACGCGCACAGTATTATGAACCCAATTACTAAGACTTACGTTTGCATGTCTTTCAGACACTGGTCCATGGTGACTGTGACATTGAAACTCACGAGATCTTCTATGGCCACATTGGCACAACCTCTCCCATCCGAGGTCCTGTGTTTTAGTCATAAGCCATTAGAGAGCTAAATGTACTGCAAGTTCCAGCAGCTTCGCACTATTAACCCTTGGGGCACATGAGAAACATGTTAAAGTACTTGGTTTGTGTGTCTGTCTGCTAATAAACTGATGTACATTATAACTCAGTGACTACTGAATATAGCCCTTTAATGCATGTGTGCGTTTTAGCACCACAACTCACAGATTACAGTTGAGGACAGGGGCAATCCCAATTGTGAGTCCAGATACGCTGTCCACAACTATGTCTCTTGTTACACTCTGCAACATTGTGTGAGTGTGAGTATAACATATGTACACTTGGACTCAGAGGGCATTGTACCTCATAGGCCATTCTGATGACACTGACAATGTCAGCCGAGTCATTAGCTATGGTCTGAACAAAAGCTCTGGACCTGCCAATCTCCTCAGCCAGCTCCTGCAGACACCATAACATATAACAATATCGGTGGATCAGATCTCCTCTAATCAAGACACCGGTGGGTCAGAAGACAAAGGGTCCATAATAGGAGGTATCCCTTTGCAAAAACTGTTTTTGGGGAATGAAAAGGTGTTCTTAACCCTTTTTATGCCATGGGTATCTGCTTAAATAAGCAGAAATTGATGTATAACATAGTATTATAGACCCATATACATTCTTATGGGTGTATGGAGGCTCTCGACATACATATATGTCCGAGAGGTGCCTTACCCTTGTCTAAGGAAATCTCTAAAAGGTGTTATTATTAGAGAGGTGTCCTCTTTTAGTGGTATACTTAGAGAGGGGTTCTACTGTATATTAGCACTAACCCTGTATACAATATTGTCTGTCGATATCCGGTTTCTGACGACATCTTCTGCTACTGCAAATATAGTGATGATGTCGTTTTCTATCAACTTCTCCCGTACTTGATAGATGGAGGGAAAATCCTGCAATTAGGTGAAAAATAAAATGCAGTCCAGTTCATTAAGTATTTGTTTGCTTGACTTTTGTTTAATATTGTAAAACCCGTCCTACACCACTGACTTCCATGTCAGCATTATGCACATACATTATGCATGCATATGTGCATATAATGACGCATAATGAATGCTATATGCTCTCTTTTGCACATCTGCAGCGTAAAGCGAATTGTCAGCAATTTCATATTAAAAAGTTACACAAAACCATTTTCACTCACAAACTTTCAACACACACACACACAGAGTAAAAAATCCCCTTTGCTATCTCTGTAATTCATTGTAGTAAAAACACGGGCATGCTCAGCCGCCCACACAATTATTGGTATAATATACTCCACCCGCTCAATTATTGGTACTCGTGTGGTGGTTGTAAGAAGATGCCAGCAGGTGGGACCCAAGGCAGGTATATATGTTGATCTTGTCTAATCTTGTCACAACCAGGCAGTATCCGTATAGGTAAACTTCCTGTGCATGCATACTACCTTCATCTACTGTCACAACCTAAAATAGGACTTAGAAAAACGGACAAACTGAACTATAGCATGATAGACTAATAGCTTAACAAGACAAACCGACAGGACTGCGGATGCCAGACTCCATTACGTGGGAGTGGTCCCGCCCCAGTGGTAGTGAGACACAGGTCGGGAGATTAAAGGGACCGAAACCTGTGACCTACACGATGATCTGCTGAGGAGTTCCCCTGATGACTGGTGCATTAGATAGATGACAGATAAACAAGACAGAGAGAGAGGGTTTGCTAGCTGTTAGGTTTGGGGATAGGTAGTGGGCACATGTACCAAATAATAATAATATGTGGAAGCACTGTGGTTTGTAACTCCATGCACAGCCTGAGTGTATGTCTGGTGGTCCGGTGCTTTGATGACGCCGACAAGTCCCCCTCCCCCGGTCTCTGTCACTACACCTCGTTCCCAACAACTCTCTCCCTCCTTGAAGTGAAGAATAGAGAAGACCAAAGAAATGAAGCAAGTTATTACTAAAGATATGTAGCTGCTATACTAAAATTGCCTTTATGTAGTGTAGGTTAGTTTGTAAGTACAATATGTAGTAGGCAAATGTGGACTCCAACCAGGTGGAGTGGCCTCGCCCTTTCTGGAGTGTCTCACGTGTTGGGAGTTTAAAGAGGCCGAAACGCGTGTGACATGGTGAAAGATTGGGAACTCCCCTGATGACCAATAACAAAAAGCCTATAGCACTGCACCTGCATGTTGCTGGACTTGTGGATAGGTTTACATGTACATTTAAGCACCTGGCTGGCTGCATGCGGTGACGCCGACAAAAGCCGCCCACCCTCTCTCGTTAGCTTTAGTCCTGCCTACACTTTACCTCTCTCTCTTCTTTCCCCAATCACAAACACACACACAAATCTGACCTGCTCGGGACCACGAGAGTAGTCATAGAACCCTTCCTCCGGTTCAAGATGACATTCCCCATCATTTCTGGTCACCAGTGCAGCAGCCTATGGATACATGTAGGTAACATGTAGGTAAATCTGTAACCAGCAACCTGTTGGATTGTGCCATCTGGCTAATTTTAAGAGTACATACCAACCGTTCCTTCTGCTTGCATACATTGGCGGTTTCAGAGCATACTGCGAAAGGTTTATCTGGGAAGTTTGTGGGCAGGACAATTTCAACGGCTGGGCCAAGTATGCAAACACACCACCATGACCTAAAGTTTAACCTGTGCAAACTGTCAGTTTTTTTTTGCACATCATCGCTAAGCTATTGCTCTGAATGACATTTGAGGAGTGCATTGTATGCTAGCACACCGCCGTGACTTAAGTTTTTGCCAGTGCAAACTGTATGTTTTTCATGTCGTCGCTAAGCTTGTGTTCCTGACAACTGAGGAGTGACTGCAACACATGCTACAGGGACATGCTTGCTTTATTCACTCAAAGTCACATTTCCACCTGCTATTAGTAACAGTGTACCCTTCCATCCAGAGCAGTCTTGAACCCAGCATCAGTCAGGACCATGACTATCCTCAGACTGCCATTCCTCCATCCAACCTCCTGAGGAATACATCATTGATAAAACTATTTGGTTAATCAGAAAGTTTTTCATTAAAGTGCAAACCCTCGGCGCACTAGAAGCGTTGTATACATACGTGGTACTGCTAATTGATCAGCTCATTCACGAACAGTGATAGTTTTATGGCGCTATTTCTCGACCAAAGACATTAATTTGCAGAATAGTGAAGCGATACTGCCCATGCATGAAAAAACTTAATGCTTAACGGATTAATTTAGGCAAAACAATATTTTCTAAGGTTGAAAAATATATAACTTAATTCTATTCACAATTTCAACTTATTTTAGGCAAAACAATTATTTCTAAGGTTGAAAAAATATTGGGCCAGTCATCCATCTCTCCAGACAGACATCTATGGATGCAGTGCAATGCCAAACTGTACGCTTCCCTTTGAGAAACATGGGTCAATGGTAGATTCATGGGTAAGGGGAGGAACCAGAGCCACCTACCTACCTGTCAGTTTCAGTGCGGGTCCGGGATTTGAACCAGGCACCTTATGTGACAGTCCCCACGTCTCTAACCACTTCGCCATTTGGGCTGGCCATGAGAGGTGATGAAAAACGTTCCTCTTATATCATTATAAAATGATAAGCACTAAAGCACGCGCTGTACCCCTAATTGATGGGCTGGGCTTTTAGTGTGTGCTTACTCGTGGTCTCCACACTAGTAGCTCGCGGAGAGTCTGACACGGACTAGCTACAGTAGTAGATAGCAATCAGGAGTCGATACACGCCCTTCGTTGTTGTGACTTCTTGTGCCTTCAAGAGCAAGCAGACCTGGTCGAGGTAAGTCTGCGCTAATATAATGCGCATTTCCAGCGATAAAAATAATGGCGACTACCGGCATAAGCCGTACAACGCTGGAAGCGCTCTAGCTTTGCAACGGAGCATTTTCAGAGAAAGCCATTCGAACATTCTGACCTTCATTGCGCGTTAAGTAGGTTGTATCATTTGTGAGACGAACGAACACCCGAGAAGTGAGATGTAGAGTATCAGACAGACACACGGACAGACAGACAGACAGACAGACCCAACTACCATACCCTCGCTGCGCATGCGCGCCGAGGGTAAAAAGGCCAGATGACTGAACATCAGGATCAAGATGGCAAGTCTTTATCCATCAGATCACACCCAATACTTGAGAGGGGTAGGTTCAATACTATCTTTAATGGCACTCATTTATGGCCAACTAATATGCATAATTTATATCTACTCCAGATTAGTACCATACTATACACATAGGGTTGTATGTACACTGGCAATTGCGCAGGCAGATGAAGCTTAGTAATTAGTAACGAAAAGTGGTACTGCCGTGGTAGGATTTCTGTATTACACACGTATTGCTGACGGCTCAATAGTATACCATCCCTGCACTACCTACTATTACTCACGTCCAGACAGACAACTGATTGTAGGAGAGCCTCCAAAGTAGCCTCAGGAACATCCAGATTACCTCTGATTGTCACATTATCCAGAACTTCCTATATAGCAAAACCATGGCAAATTTAGCAGATTACATTCAAGCAGCAAAAAAGTGTTCAGAATAGATAACATATGTGTTAGGGCTAGTAGCATGATCTATATTGGCGAAATTGCAAATATAATTCTGCGATGGAGCATGTTTTTATAATTGGTAATGGTATTGCTGTTCGGCTATTTTGTAGAATAGCTGACAGACAGACACAAAGTATTTTAACCCCCGCTACACTGAAGACTACTAGTCTAGAGAGGACTCACACTGAGCTGACCACTGTCACTGGTCAGTGGGAGATGGTGTCTGTAGACATAGGTTGGCCCACATGAGGCTCTCCCATTAGCACACTCTATCCTGTGGACAAAACATTAGTGACTAAATGAATGTTTTTGTCATGAGCACAGTACAGAGCTGAACCCGATAAAGTCCATTTGAGGTTATGTGAAAGCACCGTGGAATGCGGACAACGTGTAAACTTCCATTGATTGGCTAATTGTCTGTAATCTATACACTTACATTTAGGACTGAATGGCACGAGACATGCGTGAAAATATTAGAATGCTTCACTCTAACAGGGGCAAGTGTTTTGCAACTTGAAGGGGAGGCAAAACAACGACTGACAAAAAAGTGACATACACCATGTTTCCCAGGTGTCTGGTCAGGTAGTCAGAGCCATTCTGTAGTGTGGAGGCAAAGGGGTAGGCAATCTTGTCAACAAACGAGCCAAATCCGATAGTAAACTGTGATGAGATACTCTCCAGTTCGTCAGCTGCACGAACACAGCGTCACTGAATGTGTCATTGTGTACGGCGGCATTAGCTACCACTCACTGATGGAGTTAGAGAGGCTCTTGAGACTGTCCAGGTCAGAGGCTTGAGATCCAGAGAGGTCCATGAGGAAGTACCAGTCCAGAGGATAGTTCCTGGCTGGCTTCACTGACAGAGTGAAAGTCTGAGGCCCTCCTGTAAAGTGATTCTACTTTCACCTACATACATGCGTGTGCTAGCTCTGTGAAACTCCAAAATAAATGAAAGTGCAAATCCTCGGCGCACTACGCATGCGCGGTATCGCTAATTGATGCTAGGCTCTCGTGGTGTAGCTCGCGGAGAGTCTGACACGGGCTATCTTCACTAGTAGATTGCATGCGGGAGTCGATACACGCCCTCTGTTGCAACTTCTTGTGCCTCCAAGGTATATACGCGGAGTAGGCCGACCAGTTCGAGGTAGCGATTATGCAAATTAGCGTTTTCACGGCATATCTTTCGAACGCAGTCGTTTCATGAATTAATTTTCAGGTTCGCGTAGTTTTGAAGCCGTTGGTACCGCTAAGTGGCCACATCGTAGCCTTTAGTGCCAGAATAAGCGTCGACACACACGCACAGACAAACCAACTACCGTAACCCTCGCTGCGCATGCGCGCCGGGGGTTAATAATCTGATCATCTATAAGTGTTAACCACTTAAATGTACTAGGCGCTAATACTTCAAATATACAATTCTGCTTGAAGATACCCACGGCGTCGAAAAGGTTAAATAGCTAGGCACTAGTGGTAAAGATCGAAGGGTACGACACGGGTGGAAATCTCGTAGCTACGCTTATGCTCAGAAATCCGTAGAAATCAGCTGGAAAATCAGCAAAAACTTGCCGTGCGCGCGCCGAATTTTGCTCCGTATGGCTCCGTTCACTCTACAAGGCCGACCCTGCTGCGGCGCGCGCACACACGAGACACTCGTTCCGGCCGGCCGGCCACACCCTCGAGAGACTGAGAAATCAAGACTGGAAATCAGTTGGAAATCAGCAGAAATCACGCGCACGGAACTGGATATCAGTTGAAATCACGTGGAAATCTGGAAATCAGTAGAAATCAGGTGGAAATCACGGCGTCATAACGGTCCGTGTCGGACCCCTCGGTAAAGATAGCTATATACTGCTAGTAGGCGAATGCATGGCATTTTTGGCGAGCGGAAGCGAGCTTACAAATGGGGTCTAATCGTATGAGTCACTCTTGTGTGTGCACAAAACACATTGCGTAGCAGCTGTAGGCGGGCCTCTCTCTCCTCGCTGGACTCGGCAGCAATTTGACGTGCCTGATAGCTTTGAGGCTGTTGGAGCCTGGCCTGATGTGCTTCCTCGGATTCTGCACCGCGTCTAGCTCTTGATCGTACGCGACCTCTCGCTAGTCGCGCTTCCCTTTTCTCCGCTGTTTCTGTTGCCTTGCCCGTTCCCGATCACGCAAACGGCGTTGAGAATGCCGAGCTTCTCTCTGCTCAGGAGTCTCACTGGCACGACGTTCTCTTTCCCTCTCTCGTCGACGACGAAGAGCATCTTCTCTACACCGATCCATAACTGTTTCCCCTTCCTCACACACTTGTCGCTCACAAATTATCAGGGGTGGAGCCTACTGCAACGTACCGACGGCGTACGGTGACATGCGCAGTTCGGTGGTGGAGCATGCGCAGTTGGACGACGTACGGTGACATATATATATATATATATATATAGAAAAATCGCGCCGTTCGGACCACTAGGTTAGCTCGCTTCCGCTCGCCAATAAAGCCACCAAAATTAACCACGAAAGGAAGTAATGTACGATACTGGCTGGGTGAGCACTTATTAGAATTGTACAGTGTGTATCAGTATCGTAAAATAACCAACACTCACCAGATCATTACTAGTAGGCGAATGCATGGCATTTTTGGCGAGCGGAAGCGAGCTTACAAATGGGGTCTAATCGTATGAGTCACTCTTGTGTGTGCACAAAATAGTGAGATACATTGCACAGGACCAAGTAGGCCGAAACAACCTTTTAGACCCGAGCGCAGTAGACAATTGGAGTCGAGTCAAAAACAGTCAGACGACAGCGCGAATCAGGCATAATCTGGCAATCTGATTGGTCTTGCAATCTGGCATAATCTGGCGAATCAGGCATAATCTGGCAATCTGATTGGTCTTGCAGGAATAGGGAACAAGGTGTTCGAGCCTGTCGTGTTGCGATTCCCCTGATTCCGCTCGATTCAGGCAGCATATGAAAATTTTGAAATCCCTTTCGGATAAAAAGAAGCGCGTAATGCTGGAGCATGCGCAGTTGGACGACGTACGGTGACATATATATTATATATATATATATAATAGAAAAATCGCGCCATTCGGACCACTAGGTTAGATTGCTTCCGCTCGACAATGATGATAGAACACCACCAGTACATTCGGAATGGCTGCGATGATTTTTTCTCTCCACCAGTACAGTAGAAGCTTCTCTAGAAATGAGGGAACCTGCAGAGTGTATATCAAACATCACATCAACAAACTGTGAAGAGAAAAGTGCAGAAATTATCACAGGCCTTATAATTATAGGTAACTGGCTGGGTGAGCACTTATTAGAAGTACAGCGTGCACCAGCAGTTACTCACCCCAACAGCTATATACACTAACAATTCCAAGGTAATGGAGATTTTTAGGAAGACTGGAGATCAAGACTGGGTCAACCCTGCATGCCTGACAGCTCACCCAAACACGTCTCAGAGATTACACAACTGGGTCAACCCTGCACACCTGGAAGGCTCACCCAAACAGTTCTCAGAGAGGGTGACAAAGACAATACTCATGGTGGTGGCATCACTCCTGCATTTGAAAGGGAAGTAGGTCCACACAAGTGTGTGATATAGCTACAGGTAAAAAAAGCTGGGAACCATGCATCCCAGAGATGGTTGTCGTCCTTTAGTGGGAGGACTCATCAGATCAGCCATTCCGACTTTTTGGGGGGGTTGAACACTACAAGTTGCAACGCTAACGGATTCAGTGGGTGTGAGATTAGAATAAATTTTGATGGTGTGCAGTGTGCTAGTGTAGCCATGAACATGTGTCAACAACATTACTAGCAGAGGAAGGCAAACAAAACCAGGACAACTCCGAAAAAAGAGCTGCCCTGGCCTGGGTGAGATTCAAAGCCACTACACTCTGCAGTCTAGGCACGAGTGCTTTGCCCAATGAGCTAACAGGGCAAGGTCATTAGGGGCTAAAACCTAAATCACAGGGGCAACCCCCAAATAACTGTTATGGCACATGGGCTGTCGAAAAACTATAACAAAACAAACCACCGCTCACTGGATCATTATGATGATAGAACACTACCAGTACATTCGGAATGGCTGCGATGATTTTTTCCTCTCCACCAGTACAGTATATAGAAGCTAGAAATGAGGGAACCTGCAGAGTGCATATGAAACATCACATCAAAAAACTGTGAATAGAAAGGTAAAGTGCAGAAATATCTTAGATCTATCATGTAGAGCATGCATAGGAGTCACAAACAATTCAACTACACGGCCAGGACAGCTTTTTTTGAAGGAAAAAATGAGCTGCCCTAGAACCGACGACATTTTGCAGTCTAGGAGGGCGCTCTACTAACTGAGCTATATATATATTGTGTGTGTGTGTTGGTATATTGCGATGTGGTACACTCAAGAAACACACTCACCAAACAACTCAGATCCCAAATGTACACAATAGGTACTGTAGACCTTCTTGGAAGACTTCAGAAAGTCAGGAAAATATAGAAAGGGAGATAGGAAGAATAACACAGAAACATGGTATTAAAACAAAAACTGAAGTGAGCATAGTATGTCAGTGATAGTTGGAGAGCACAGGAAGTTGGACACAGACTACAATTGGAATACAGTCTGACCTATTTCTATGGAGGCAACTTTCATGGGGCACCACATTTGAAAGTACTGCTTACTGAAATGGTTATGAGCATGCTCATACCACATCAAGGACCCTACAGCTCTGCTTTTACTGCAGTAGTGAACACAGTGCAAGGAGTTGTATATAAGCCGCTTCATTGCGTGAATCTGTCACTGACACTCGTATACAAGTGGCATTAGTGAAGGGGTGAAATATAAGTACCCTAGAGGTGAGTAGCAATGTCTACTGCCTCTACAGAGTTTATACATACTGATGATGTTCGGGGCATGCAACTGTTTGTTACACAGGCATCACCCTGTAATGTGTGTCTCCACAGATTGTTACGAAGGTGGCTTCCTCCAGACACTAGGCAAATCAGCATGATAGGAAAGGTTGCAAGGTAATGAGCACAGTGAGAAATGAAAAGCACTAAAGTGCAAACCCTCGGCGAACTGAGCATGCGCGGTACCGCTAATTGATGGACTGGGCTGCTATTAGCATGCGTTTACTCGTGGTCTCCCGCTAGTTAGCTCGCAGAGAGTCTGACACGGGCTAGCTACAGTAGTAGATAGCATGCAAGAGTCGATACACGCCCTTAGTTGTGACTTCTCGTGCCTTCAAGATACACAGAGCAAGCGGACCCGAGCCTGTTGAAAATATAAGCGCATGCGCATTTCCACAGAGATAAAAATGGCCGACTAGCATTAGCCGTACAATGGCGGAAGCGCTCTAGCTTCGCAACTAAGCTTTTTCAGAGAAAACTGTCCTATCGTTCTGACCTTTGTTGCCCGTTAAGTAGGTCGTGTCGTTTGTGAGACGAACAGACGTTTGGAGAAGTGAGATATAGAGTAACAGACAAACTGACAGACCCAACTACAGTAGCCTCGCTGCATACTACCTCCACTCATAGAACATAACGTTGATATAAAAACAAGGTGGTTCTGACCTTGACAAACACCCTATACACGTAAACTTGCCATTTCTGCTGCGCATGTGCGCCGAGGGTAATAACACACATCACACATGTTCTTGTTTTGCCTTCTATTCGCAGGGGGTTGCAAACTGTGTGCAACTTCCTCCCAAGTGACACCACGAGGAGGTTGAAGGCCCATCATGGGACAGTCTCAATTGCTACATACACAGAGATGACTGCCCCACAATGTCGTCACTCACAAGTGGATTCTCACCGCAAAAATTGTTGGCCTATATATAAAGTTATCCATGCCTGTATGAGTTTGTATGGTTCTGTCCTGGCAGTGTGAATCCACCGTGAAGAGTGGATGTTATTAGGTACCCACTAACAGGTCAGTGACAGTTCTGCACATAAAAATGTGAACAAGGGCTTTAGTAAAATACACACTGACAGAGGGCATATTTTCACTGTCAACTTTGTTACCTGCTGGTTGGTACAATACACATTATCCATTGGACATCCACTCTTAAAAAAACACAATTAATGCAGTGTCAAGTTACATACAAACAGTTGCCCTCTTTGGGATCCTGTAAACAACCCGAGTGTGGAGATCTCTCATAGTAACAACTGACTTAGGTGTACACATACCTGAGCGTGGAGATCGATCCTAGCAACAACTCACTCAGGTCCACACATAACCCGAGTGTGGAGAAACTCCTAGAAACAGCTCGCTCGGGTTTGAACACACAAAACCATTTTACACACATCACATTCATGGAGAGCGAGCACAGTGGCATGACCTTTGAACTGTTTTCAAAATTGTAATATATCCTAAACAACTCAATCAAAGTTTCTCACTGCATTCGCTCACCATTCATTCATTTTTAATCATATGGAAAATGCACTCAATCAACCCGAGCGTGGAGATCTACAGCTCGCTCGGGTGCAAACATACCTGAGCGTGGAGATCGATCCTAGCAACAACTCACTCAGGTTCACACATAACCCGAGTGTGGAGAAACTCCTAGCAAAAACTCATTCGGGCTGGAACACTCAAAAGCACAATACACATTTTACACATCACATTTATGGGGAGCGAGCACAGAGGCATGAACTGTAACATAAGGGAACCATCTTTTATTCTAAACAACTCAGTCGGGCATGCTCACTGCATTCGCTCAGCGTTCATTTTTACATTGGAAAATCACATTGAAAAATGCACTCAATCAACCCGAGTGTGGAGATCTACAGCTCGCTCAGGTGCAAACATACCTGAGCGTGGAGATCGATCCTAGCAACAACTCACTCAGGTTCACACATAACCCGAGTGTAGAGAAACTCCTAGCAACAGCTCGCTCTGGTGCAAACATACCCGAGTGTGGAGAAACTCCTAGCAACAACTCACTCGGGTTGGAACACTCAAGAGCACAATACACATTTTACACATCACATTTATGGGGAGTGAGCACAGGGGCATGAACGGTTACATAAGGGAACCATCTTTTTAAACAACTCAGTCGGGCATGCTCACTGCATTCGCTAACCATTCATTTTTACATTGGAAAATCACATTGAAAAATGCACTCAATCAACCAGAGCGTGGAGGTCTCCTAGCAACAGTTCTCTCAGGTTCACACATAACCTCACACATAACCCGAGTGTGGAAAAACTCCTAGCAACAGCTCACTCGGGCACACATACGTACGTACCTAGTGTGGAGAAACTTTCAGCAAACAGACACCCACACTACTGTAAATGCTGATTCGCCACTGGTAACGGGTAGGTAGGTGTCTTCAAACACCTTTTGCACTCCCAGTGGACCTCGGATTCTCCAAACACCTCGCTGGGAATGTCCATGCAGTGGCGGTGATACCAGATGTGGCAGGAATCACACTTGGCCATCTCATCACCTTCCTCCTCCGGCATGCGACACGAACAGTGGAGCCCCACTGTCTTTGGCTTTCTCTGGACACTCTCTCTCTGGCCCAACACAGGAAAACGACAAACCTGGCAATTCTAAAGACAAGTCAGATGTGGCCTTATCTTACTGTGATCAAACCTAACACTGCAAGGGTTCATACCACTGCATATGTCAAATGCATAGGCTATGGCCAGAACCCCGCAGTCGGAACCATTGGACTGTTTCTCAATGTCCATCATTACAACTTTTAGCTCAGAGCTCGGGACATGGACCATGCTCGTAATCAATCGCACAGTTTCTTTGGACAGAGTCCTGTACAGACTATCATACACATGGACAACACCACTGTGACAACCAACTGTGGACACAACACACCAGTGGCCGTTTCTGACGTGTATGATTTGAACAAATTCCCCAGAGTGGACCTGAAACGCAAACGCCTTTTACAGTGTGGGGGGTTGCAGGCCGGCCATGTTGGGGAAAAACTGAAGCAAGATCATCTGTGCAGCACAGATGATCTTGTCGGTGAGCCAACCTCTCCGAGACAAAAAACATCCCGATCACGACAGCTCAGATTGTAGGCACCGTTACTTACCCACATTTCTGGGGCCTCGTTTTCTTCTTCAGATGCTGAAGACAGCACAATGCTCTCAGAGGTCTGGGGAACACAGCAATTACATCGTTCATGCAGAGCTGAGTCATTTGTTACACTGCGGAGCGAGATTCTGGGGGCTTTTTCGCCACTCATCGAGTGGAATAGGAGAGCAACCACTCACAGGAATAAGCTCGGTGCAAGAGAACGAAGCGTTCAGAACACCTTTTGAGCAGTAGAGCTGATACCGGCCAGCAAACCCTCCCACAATGCGACAGGGGACGTGAAAATCACCCATGCTTCTGCTGTGAATGCAGACATAATCCCCAACTTTCATCTCGGGCTTCACGTCCTCTGAAGGGGAAGGTTTTACACTCTCTGGCGGACTTGAGACATGTTCTGGCTCTAATGGACTGGGATCTGCATGTCCTCCCGGGTTATTTTGAGGAGGAAACAGAGGACAGCAAGGCAGACGGTTCCTGTAGCTCAAGGGACAGCCTCTCTCTTGTGGGCCCTCCCTTCAGCTCCACACGTATCAATATCAATTTGTTCTGACTCTGACGAGTCACCACCTGTGATATATTCGCCAGACTCAGAGTCAGTTATCAATTCCTCTGCGGCACCATCAGAGTGGTCGTCTTTTTTGGCACGAATTTTGTGGAAAGGGCAGTCTCTGTGGTTGGAGCGTCGGTGTGTATTCGATCCACATGCAGCACACTTCCCCTTCCCCAGGGGTTTTCCTTGCCACGACCACTGCCCTTCCCTTTTCCTTTGTTCTGGTTAACCCCATCACCAGAGTCACACACCATTTCATCAACGTCACTATCACCACTACCGTCAAAGTATGTATCGCGGCCGTGTTTCTTGGACACTTGATGCGCCTCATCTCTTCCTTGACACGCTTCTTTTCAGTTCTATTCTCCGTTTCTTCTTGGGAGTGGTCCTGGCCAACTCTAATTCTCTCTTTCTCCGTACATTGTGCTTTTCTAGCGCCTCAACCATGCCTTCAAAAACGGAGATTCATGCGTCGGTACAACTCTGGGAGCCAGTGACAAGTAGTACCTAGCTTTGCATGCATGTAGGTCAGGTTGGCTTGGAGCAACCCGAGATTGGTGGAAACGTGGTAGTGAAGCCTCTCCAAGTATATGTCTTTGGACCTAAACCTGATCAATACATTGTGAGAGGCTTCAACTGCATTAGAGTGGCCACGTTTGAGGATGGGGTGAACCAGCTTGCTTGCCTGTACAGCTCTCTCTGTGCATTCATTCTCATACAACAGTGCATGAAATTCACAATCCAGCATCATTCTGGATTTGTACGGTTTTCCCTCACACTCTATTTGTTCTTTGTCACTACACTTTTTTGCACGTGCAGACCCAAAGCGGGTGGAAGTCACACCTTCCTCCCTCCCACTCGTGAATGTCACGTGCATGTTTAGGTAGTGCTTCCACGCGTTTCACAAATTCTTCCTGCGATTGGGCCTCATTCAGAATCGAGGTGAAATTTGTGTGCGCTTTGGAAATAAAAGGTGGATTCAAACAACCGCATGCAGCACTGTGGTTGCCCCCCTTGCATTTACAGCTCAGCTCACATAAAGCTGGAAAACTAGCCCTGTACTTATCACACATTTGCTTTGAAGCTGTTTTCATTTTCCAGGATTTTCTTGTGGGCACGTCCGGCATGTCCGCCGCAGATCATTATTTCAGCGTCAGGAAACACTTCACTGACTGCGTTGGCAGAGGAGGAGTCAGCGTCCTGCCAGTGGACGGCAACCTGCATTCCCTCCTCTTTGGCCCTCCGAAACGTTATCCGAGCGGCATACCCTTCTGCAGATTTGGACGTGCCCTTGTACAACTCTTCCTT